GTGCTACAGAGACTGTGCACTGTGCTGAGCTTCGTTAAACTCAGACTTGAGTTATAAAAAGAACGTAACACTTATAGGTTACTACACGTGTGCCGTGATGTTGATCCGTTGTTCAAAAACCTTAAACCTAAAAAATAACCGGCCAATTACTGCTTTTATTTACTACTGTTGCAGTGTACGCAGGAGTTTCTACGTTTCGGGCCTTATGGGACTAGAAGTTAGAGTTTTATGTTTGTCACGACATCAACAAGAACAAAATTCCCAGCCTTACTGAGGGTTGTAACCAGATTTCGCACATAAGATCCTTGCGTTCTGACCCCTTCGGAAAGCCGCTCCTCATTACTAAGAATAAGTTGTGGAATTATTTACCTAAGTTGTAAACCTTTGAAATATTCAAACACAACGGATGAAACAAATGTGGTGCAAAAGTGATGCACTGATAGTGCCAGAAGGCTGGTCTGAGGCCGGTAATAAAAGAAAAAATATTAACATCTCTATTAACTAGTAGCTACATTTTGCCACCACCAGAAAATGTTCCCGTCCCCAGCAGTTGCACAGGTTGTGCATGCCATAACACACACCTGCTTACAAGATTCATTAGCCTCCCTGCCGTTACCAAAGATGAAATATATAAAACACCAAAGATTCCTAGTTCAGTACAGTATTTACCAGTCAGTCTGACAGTACTAACCAATCAGCCATACGATACTCAGCGCAGTCAATGATAATCTTTAATGTGTACACAGTACATTACACACTAATCAGTTTTACAATATTCAGCAGCTAAACTCAAGTGCAGTACTCAACAATCAGCCAACAGTACTCTTCAGTCAGTGATCATATTTAATATATCACACACTACTGTACTCACAAGTCAGCCACACGCACTGGCCCGCAACAATACATTCCGGGCTGTAGTACACAATACTCACCCATCATCCAGTATGTGACCGTTGTATACAAGATGGTGATGGCACAGAATACAGGCAACTGTAGTAATACAAAGTAGTGTATTAATATACGATAATGTATATTGATTTGTCACAAATCGGAGCAATCATCCAAGGCCCTTCTGTGCTATGATACTAAAAGCCGTCGCATCGGGCGGTGCAGTAACGGGGTGGCATAAAGCAGCAGGTTATTTTTAAAAAAAAAGACATTTCAAGACTTGCATCATACTGAGAAAATCGACCACACAGCTCTGCAATCTTTACCTGCGCAGGACTGTAGATTTTACTGGTCTGGATGTCCGGTACAGGTGAAATAAATATAACTTCCTTGGTGGTATCTGGGTTTGCCCGACCACTGAGATTCTTCAGTCACACGGTGTCAAACTTTTAGGTCCAGGTAGCACTGAGATTCTATAACCCCACGGTGTCAAAACTTTCCGGTCCTGTTTGTCACCAGCACTGAAATTCTTTAGTCACATAGTGTCAAACTTTTAGGTCCTGTTGGTCTGCTACCAGCACTGAGATTCTTCAGTCCCATGGTGTCAAACTTCTAGATCTTTTTAGTTTGCCATCAGCATTGGGATTCTTCAGTCCCACGGTGTCAAACTTCTAGATCTTTTTAGTTTGCCATCAGCATTGGGATTCTTCAGTCCCACGGTGTCAAACTTCTAGATCTTGTTAGTTTGCCTTCAGCATTGGGATTCTTCAGTCCCACGGTGTCTAACTTCTAGGTCTTGTTAGTTTGCCATCAGCATTGGGATTCTTCAGTCCCACGGTGTCTTAACTTCTAGATCTTGTTAGTTTGCCATCAGCATTGGGATTCTTTAGTAACACGGTGTCAAACTTCTAGGCCCTGTTGGTCTGCCATCCAGATTGTGATCTTCTGCTTCAGGGGGGTCACACTTTTCAGGTACCAGCCCAGAGGGGATAAATGGTGCGCAGGTACACGTGATTCCCTTTAAATTAATAACACGCAATCTATAAAGAGTGTTATTCTCCCTTTTTACTTTACCGGACAAGGAAAAGTAAAAAAAATGTTTGCACACTGGCTGTTGACTGAGACAACAAATATAGACAGCATATTATTTTCTAAATGTAATGGTATGGGATTCACGGTAGTGGCCAGACGTATGCCAGTCTGAAAGTCTTAGGATCGATCCAGCTAAGATGAAAAATAAAAATGAGTTTCCAATGTTGACCTCAGCTCCCAGGTTGACCCAGCCTAAGATGGGTACCAGATAATGTTCTGTAAACTAAGAGCAACAGGCAAGATGTTGACATCACCCACAGAATGCTGATTGGTCTGTAAACACATGAATCCAGAATCAACTACCCGATGCGCCACTGGTTAAAACAAAAAAGGAATTTTCTTCAAGAATGGTATAAATTATGGTTATTAGCAAATCTGATAACTGCTTCATCGTTATCATGTGCCGTGCTGGTAAGCCTGAGCTGTCATGTTTGGCACGATTACCAGAATCACGGATCATCCATGGGCCAGGACATGCTGGTATTTGCCTCTTTACCCTCCTCTTGCGTGCTTTCCGTCAATCGTGCCAGTTATTACAAAGTTTGAAGTCCATTTCTAATCACAAAATGTCCTAATTTTTCTTATAGGTTTATGACTTTCAAATTGCTTAGAGGTTAGAAAATGAAGTTCCTTCGTTTGCTCAATGTACCTGAATGTGTGGAGACGGATTCTTTGTACTCCTGAATAGATTTTAGTTACGTATTGAAAATAAATGTTCGACTGCAGTCTGTTTTTTTTTTTTTAATGAGTCTGCACGCATTGTTTAATAAAATACTACACGCAAGAAGTACTGGCCTTGTTTAAGAAAAAGAAAAAAAAAAAATATATATATATATATATACACACACACACACACACACATTTAACACACACAAAAAAACAAATATATATATATATATATATATATATATATATATATATATATATATATATATATATATATATATATATATATATATATATATATATATAGAGAGAGAGAGAGAGAGAGAGAGAGAGAGAGAGAGAGAGAGAGAGAGAGAAAATAAATTAACTCTACTGAACACTGACTGTCACGAGCAATTACTACGAGGATTAACACTAGGACAGAAAAAACATACCCCATGGTCCTAAAATATATAAGTTCTTTTTAACGTTTAGGTAATCTGAATATGAATTCATTCATCGTCATCTTCCCCATCAAGTGCCAAGCCAACTGGCGTGGGCTATCATGCCTCTCCACAATCTGCGATCTGCAACAGCTTGTATCAGTGTGTGTGTTAACACCCCTCCATGCCATGATAAAAAGCAGTCAAGAATCTTCTCGCGATGTCCTTCTCTGTCGCTCTTTCCAGTGGTCAAAAACATATTCCAGTTTCCCTCCTCATAACATAACCCCCCAAAAAATGATAACTGTTTCTTTCTGATGTTTATGATAAGTTGTCTTTTGAATGCATTGAGCAGTATTTGACAGTAAGCGCTTCATGTGATTCACAGACAATAATCGAAACTGGAACTGTTTTGCTGATTGCTAGAGACGAGGGGGTCGATTGATGTAACGTCTGTTCTTGAATCAGCTTAACTTACAAATACGACTGATCTAATTATTACCTAAACACATTAGCCTATCATCATTATCATCATAAACAACTTCTGCCGTTAAGCGTTGTGAGGAGGAATAATTTGAGATTCAGTGCACACTGGGTGCCGCAGGCTATTGTCATGCCATGAAGGCTTAGTGTCTTTAATGTAGTCGATCCATAATTTTTGCGGCCATCCTCTTGTTCTTGTGGCTGTTCTTCTCAGATGTAGTGCTTTTGGAATATTTTGATCTTGCTGCATTCTAACTAGATCACCAAATCACTTGATCTAATTTTTATCGGTGGGTCTCTATTTGGCTGAAAAAGACGTTAACTGTACAAGTTAAATACAAAGTGGATATATCTGTAGGTATCACTTTCCAGTTACTGATTAATTCATCATCTGTTATCGTTATGCCTAGTGGCACATAAGGCTTTAGAGAGGACTACTTTCCATGCTTTCCTGTCCTGTGCAATCTTTAATGCAGTTTTCCATGTCAAAGATGCCACACTCAGGTCACTTTCCATCGTTCGTCTCCATGTTGTTTTTGAGCGCCCCTGTTTTCTCTTTCCCTCTGGTATCCATGTGAGAACTGTTTTGGCAGGTGTATCAGGATTCATTCTCATAACGTGGCCAAGCCATTTCCATATTCTCTTGGTTATCATGCTGTCTAGAGTTTCTTGGTTTGTGACTGCAAGTAGTTTAGTGTTTGAGATTGTATCTGGCCAGAAAATTTTGATAATTCTACGTACACATGTGTGGTGGAAGGTGGACAGCTTGTGTACATCCTTTCTGGTCATTCTCCAGTATTTCGCTCCATAAAGAAGAACTGGCAAAATGATGCTCTTGAAGAGCCGGAGTTTTGTCTCTTGGTTATCATGCTGTCTAGAGTTACTTGGTTTGTGACTGCAAGTAGTTTAGTGTTTGAGATTGTATCTGGCCAGAAAATTTTGATAATTCTACGTACACATGTGTGGTGGAAGGTGGACAGCTTGTGTACATCCTTTCTGGTCATTCTCCAGTATTTCGCTCCATAAAGAAGAACTGGCAAAATGATGCTCTTGTAGAGCCGGAGTTTTGTTCCTCTGCAGTAACTGTTAAATTTCCAGATTTGCCTCATCCAGCAGCTCTAGCTTTGTTCAGGCGTGACTGTATGTCTTCCTCTGTCCCTCCCAGTAGGGACACGACACTGCCAAGATATGTGAAATGTTCTACATTTTCAAGTGATCGGTTACTTATGGCCACTGGTTGTTGGTTTGATCAATTAGCAAGATTTTAATTAGGATGAACAGTTAAAGAAAACATCCATGTACCTTCATCAAGATATACACCGCTTACCTCCGCTATCGATTTTGTGAAATAGTACACATCTGCCCGGTACAATCCCGTGCCGTACTCTCTGAGAAAAATGGCCAGTTCGTGAGGAAATGACTGAAATTAGAGTTAACATTTTGTCTGTGTTCAAGATTGCTGTTGGTATTATCTTCACCATTATTATCCTCATCATCATCATACCCCGTGTGGGTTGGGACCCCATTGTGGGTAAAAATAAGAACTGATCCAATGCCTGCCCAAAAGCATGTTTTAAGAATAAACTAATTGGGAGCTTCGTTCAGTCGGCGTATATCTACCTGAGAAGCAAGGAACAAATAGTCCACATGGAGATGTGTCAGAAATGTAAAATGGATGTGTACGCAACACTCGGTTTCTGGAAAAGGGATAGAAAAAAAAAACGGGGTTAAGAAAGCGAGAACGCCCAAAAGAAACCCTAAAACGAACGTTAATGACAGAGACCAAGGTGCGGGACTGGACTCCATACATGACATCAAAGGAATTGCACAGGACAGAACGCAGTGGAGTAAAAGACCTCCAACCCCATGTGACATACATCGGCACCATTGGACAGTGATAATGATGATGATGAGCAACCACATTGTTTGTTTGACTGGCTCGCTATATTCACCTTTCTCAGCGGCGTGCTCTCGTTGGTTATGTAGTTGGGTTTCCTTCTCGCGGAGGTCTACGTGGCGAAGTGGTCAAGCCGTTTGCTTAGTGCTCTGAAGGTCGTGGGTTCTTTTCACTGTGGCGTCGTTTAGTGTACGAGTGTAAATTTTACGGAGATCCCAAGGGATCGTGGATGCATTCTCATGCATTCATAGACCGCTTTTATTCTTATCTCTCGGCGAATTAGACACCTAATCCCTTGCACAAAGCTCAGGTATTCGATCTTAGATTGCTGTTTTCTATGGCCAGATGTTTGCAAGTATTGATGCATGGCTGACACAGTAACAAAAGGTCTGTCTAAGCTATTAGTCCTACGCTCTGAAAATCGTTCGCCGGTAAAGGTGATTTTATAGTTATTTTATGTGCAGTGACTCTTTACCTCTTTTTCTCAATTGGTAAACAAGGACAGTTAGAAATGTTCATGAAAAGTTAGATCTTTTGAAGTAATATTACCATATGAGCCTAATTAGGGTCGATTCTTCTGTTTAAATATATGAATAAAGGGCACTTGTCCACGACCAGTCGTACTGGGGGAAATAGTGTTAGAGGTATAAAAACAGCTATACAATCAGCTATAAAAACAGACCTATTAGCACTCGGTGGATGATGTGGTCAACTTTCCTTCGCTGCATCTGACCTGGAGCCCATTTGAGAATGGGTCGTCTTGAGAGACAAAGTCACTTTTAAAGAAACAATCTGGCTCCTTTCGGATTTGAACCCAGACCTAAATATGTAATCTATTTTTGACAGTTTAATACGCCAAACACTAAATAGATAGGTCATCATTTTGACCACACTAAAAAAAGACGAAGAATATTTGACCATTTTGTGAACACTTGATATATCAATGCAGCAAGTGAAAGAAAGTAAATGAAAGAAGATTCTTGACAACCAACTGCAATTGCTTAGAGAAGTGTCACCATACAAATTACTACTTTATATTAGAAATTGTAAGATGTGGAAATGTGATCTCCAACGCCAGCTGACAAGGAATTTTATAACAGAGCATAGATTGCTGCATGCTGCTGGTGATCACAAGATGCAGACAAACATGATCGCTCGCGCATGTTGGCAAGACAGTTGGTGATAATAAAAAAACAGACATTTGTCATTTTAAACAAAGGCAAGATTAATGAGTAACTGACAAGGTGAAGGGTTAAAGTGTTTGTAATGTGCGTGATATTGAACAGAATCCATATTTCTAAACACAGTATGGTAAAAGTAACGGTAAAGGTGAGAGGGTCAACTTCATTGCACCAAGTTTTATCCCATATGACTCAGTCTCTCTCTCTCTCTCTCTCTCTCTCTCTCTCTCTCTCTCTCTTTCTCTCTCTTTCTCTCTGCAGAACAGCTAGCTGCTTGCCAAGAGCGTCTCAGTCTCTCTCCGCAGAACAGCTAGCTGCTCGCCGCTAGCGTTGCACACAGCATAACCTTAGTAGCTCCGGCGACGATCAAGAGTAATTTCCGTAAAAATTGCAACCATGAATTGGAAAACGCCGCCGTGAAACGAACCCAAGACTTTTAGAGTGCAATGCAAGCGGCTTGACCACTTCGGCTGTTAAAATAGAAAGGCTTCGCAAGGAGAACAGTGTCTCCAAGATTATTTTCAACACGTGCAAGAATATTATCTATAATGAGTTGCAGAACCAACGCCAGCATTTGTTTGATTGTAATATGTTTGTGGTTTCAATAAAAAAATTAAACGTTCCATGGTTTGTCATAGTTCTGCGACAGTCAGATCTAGATTCTACTATCGACATAGGCAGTCTTCGATAAAATCACCTGCAGCTAGGATTGAACTCGGCACCCCAGAACTAGGATGCATGTTCCCAATGCCTAGGCCACAGATGTCTACACAGTGAGTTACAACACACACACAAAGAAATGTCACATGTAAACGACATCCAATACTGCTCTATGACAAAGAAACCTGGACACAAAATCTAGGCATTTACAAGAAATGAAAAATACATCGAACAGTTCGGTCTCTTTATTTAGAAATGTGGCTCTCAACTTCCTAATGAAGCGACCCTTTAATACAGTTCTCTATGTTATGGTAACACCAATCAAAAATTATTGTTTTTTATGTTGCTACTTCAGTGAATATTTTCCCCCCGATGGCCTTAGGCGACACCTGTGCAAACAACTAACTGGTCACCTTTTACGACATGCTTATTACAGGCTTAGTGAGTCAATTCTCTATCCCATCCCCCTTTCTTCCCCCCCCCCCACCAGAACGAAATGTAGCCCAGGAAGCAACACAAGAGTATCTCTAACAAGAGATTTACCAGATTATGACACTTACGTTGACGACTCCAAACATGTTTGAGAACGAGGTGTTGGTGATGAGAAGAAAGATTGCGCCATTGATGTTCATCACCCCCTTTTGGTCAACGGTCAGCTGCAGATAGACCAGTCCGAGCACCACGCCCAGGACCTAGAACATTGGAAGAGATATACTTTCAGCTTTCATATGTTAGAGAACAAAACAACTGCCAGATTTGAAAAACAAATATATTTCTGAAAAAACTCACATGCACTCGCATATCGTTTTCTTCTGTGCTCATCCGAAATTGTAGAAGCGTTGTGAAGCGTAGAAATGTAGAGCGTTTACAGCATGGTTGCGAGGTTTGCTCTTTCGGCTGACACATCCGACTTCTGCAGGCTTTTGACGCTGGGTTAGTCTTCCCAGAAACCTCGTATATTAGGCGTGTTGTTATGGGAAAACATAATTATCGAAGAGGAGCGGCTGTGCGAGCGGTTAGAACGTCAATGTAAAAAAAAATAACCCCAAGGTGGTAGGATGTGATATGCGTGCGTACGTCTTTTCGCACGTGTATGGTGGAGGGGATGGACATGTATTTGTCCCTGAATGTGCGTTTGTGCATGTGTTGGATTGAATGTGTATGTAGCTGTATGCGTGTGTACGTATGTGAGTGCGTGTATGTGCATGCGTGTATGTATGCAGGTGCCGGTGCCTATCGACAAAATTAAAAGACCCTTTTCCGAACTTTTCAGTCGTATTAGTAACATAGTCTCCTTCTTCATCACTTCCTCTTTTACCGCTTCGCTTGTTGATGGAGATACACGATTCAAAGTTATGAAGAAAAATATTTGTTTATGGGTCGTAAATTGTATTAAAGTGTCGCAGCATTAGGCAGGTTGAAAGCCATTGTTTTATTGAGACTAGTGGCACTAGTAATAGAGTGGCGACACTTTAGAATGACATGGACAACAGAGAATATAAATACATATATAAATCTTTTTACATTTTTTTTTTTTTTTAGTTCAACACTGGGATTCATATGATCAGAAGTTACAGCATCGCCCTAAGCTAGGGACAATAAAAAAGTCGTGGTACACCAAACTTCCGGTTCCGACATTGATAGGGAATGGATGAAGGTTGAGAACTTGGCTTATGTTGACCGTTCTCGTCACCGATTCTCCTCCAGTTCCGGTGTTGCAAGATTGTGGAAGTCGGAGCTACTGAGTTTAGTGCTCCTGGTGGCACTATGAGCTGTGATCATCGGTTATTGAGTTCCAGATTCGTACATAATGGCAATGATGAGGGATGTATTTTTCTTTGTTGTGTTCCTGGAACAAGGTGTGGGCTATAACTGCTATTTATTTGTTGGCCGTGGCTGCAACTTGGCTGTGGACATGCAGGGAATGGTCAGGAATATTTTTAATATACTCATCGCCTAGTTTTCCTCAAATGAAATTGATTTTCAGCGATGACACCTGGTCTCGCAGTGTGTTTAATGAGGCATGCACCTTATAGTTTGCCAGATCAAATCGTGTGTGTTTTGCTGACTGAGGACACTTTGTATGGCTACGTCATTCACTTGAAGTGATTACCAGATTACTTGAAGTATCTAGCATATCTGCCTCAGTTTGTTGAACAATTATGGGCCAAGCTCATTTGCTGTGATGCCAGAACCGTAACGACTAACTAACTAGCTAGCTAGCTAGCTAGCTAACTAACTAACTAACTAGCTAGCTAACACCAACATATATTTAAGTCAATAAACTTGACGTAACTTGACGTGTAAATGATACACCTTGCTAAGTATGACATCCTTATTGGAGGCGATTGGTAGACTGTAATGCCAAGAAAAATATACTTCTTCAACAACATCTGAGGCTGATTTGTATGTCATCGTTCTGAATTCTGAAAGTAAGGTTACGCTATTAAGCGTATTGGGTATATAGGTCTACACCTATAGTTTATAGATCAATCGGCACTCATTAGGGCATGTGATCAACATCACGCTGGCCACCTTTACTTCCTAGAACTTTGCCTGGTACCCATTTCAGGATGCGTCAACCTGGGAGCCAAGGTCATTTTCGATCTTGCTTGGTGCGGATCAGAAGCTACAACTTAAGGGCCAGAGGGGATCGTCTAGCCACTACGACGCAGGACAATTCTAAAAGGTATCATTAGAAAATATAATTTGTAATCAGATAATCTACATCTGTGTGGGTTCTGGGGCCCTGTTAAAGGGAAAACAAGAGTAGACCCACTGCCCACCAAAAGCATGTCCAAAGAGTCAACTAACTGGGAGCTTCCTTCGAAGTCGGAGTGCATCTGCCTGAGAATCAAGGAACCAACCGTCTGCACGCAAATGAGTCAGATCTGTCAAACGGATGCACACACAACACTCAGGTTCTGAAACAGGACTGCAGTCCAGAAGTGGACGAACAACCAGAACTTTCCGCCAGAGTTGACAGCTGGTGAACGCGAAGAAGAAGAAGAATACCTACAAAAGCTTGCATGATTCTGATCCTGAAAAGAACGACATCGCGGTAAACGCTAATCCAGCTTCTCCAGAACAAGTATCGATACTGAGTCAGCCATGATGCTTTATATCTGATAACAGAGAAAACAAAAACGTCATTTGCAACAACAAAAACAACTCCCTCTAATTCTAATTAGTAGGTTAACATCTAGAGATACTGCTGTGTGATTTGAACACATGGATACTTAAAAGCACTCCTCCACTCTATCTTTCAGAAGCCTAAAGAATTAGAATTAACAATACCAGCAGTTAACTTGATACCTAGATCGAATTTTATCTTAAAATGGAGCTGATGTGTACATATATTTATGTGTAGTTATATGTAGTGTGTGTGTGTGTGTGTGTGTGTGTGTGTGTGTGTGTAGTGTATGTGTGAAGTGTTTTTGTGTGCAGTGTATTTGTGTTTGGTGTATTTGTGTTTGGTGTATTTGTGTGTGGTGTATTTGTGTGTGGTGTATTTGTGTGTGGTGTATTTGTGTGTGGTGTATTTGTGTGTAGTGAGTGGGTTTGTGGGTGGTGTATGTGGATAGTGTATAAGTGAGTAGTGTATAAGTGTTTTGTGTAAAAGTGTGTAGTGTATAAGTGTGTAGCGTATAAGTGTGTAGTGTATAAGTGTGTGTGTGTGTCCTCGCAGGTGGCAATATTATTATCTAAAGCTAATAGGATTATCTAAAGCTAAGACAGAAACAGTACCTGGATTCTCCGGTCACCACCTCATCGAGCTGTCAGAAATAAAAAATCAATTACTTAGTGTTTATAATTGTGGCTGGCAGGCACGTGCGCGCACACACACACATAAATGTGTGTGTGTGTGTATATATATATATACACACACACACACACACACGCAGACAGACAGATTCACACACGCATATATATATATATATATATATCTGTCCGTTGAGTTTACCAATCAAGAGTTGAGTTAAGATTTGACATCACAGCACTCGGAGCATTCCTATGCGTGCTGCGTCCTCATCTTCAACTTCCAGCGCAGAGTTCCAATACTGATGGTACCAGTCACATTCTGGTTATATGTCCATCTTGCCTTTCCTCTATGTGTAGTGAGCCGGCCTAGACCCTCTGGTTACACCCAGGTGCCTCATTCTCTCCAGACCATAATAATCTTGTTTCTCTACTGATTATATTGCTTGTTCCCAAAGGGCCTTGACCACATCTGCTTGACATGTATCAATTCAACATCTACTCGTGCAGATCCAGCCAATCTATCTGCCTGTTCATTACGCCGGCATGGCCTGGAGAAGAGATGCAAAGTATGCTCACCTACCGTGACCTTCCCAGTAAAGCTTGCCACTCTGCTCGAAGCATCCCTGTCTTCACCTTTCTCAGCATGCTTTCAGAGTCTGTTACAATTACAATTACAATCAAGAATAATGCTGAAATTAGTAATCCGTTGACAAAGACTTAGTTTGAAACTCTCGGCTATATTTGTGTTCGTTCTTTTCCATTCCTTTCATTGAACTTTTAAGTCACATTTTATCTTATACTTAGTACTTGAAAATAAATTGTCCACTAAAATCGACAATTGTTTTATATCTACTTCATAATTACACACACTGTTCCTACTAGTTCAAGGGAACTGAACCATGAACTTTCACTGCACAGGTGTGATATGCCTCCTGGTCTGCCCCTGGAGCGTACTATATACAAAGTGTACAGTAGATTATATCAGTAAACCAGCGATGTTGTGTAAATAGTTATGACTGTTGAAACAAAAACATGTTGTGAGAACTGCAAACTACTTATGGTTTTAATACTGCCCAAACATACGTATACGATATGGTAGTTAATAAACTTCCCTCTTTATCTTTCCTGATCATTTAATTGAATGACTAGTCATCCCATGAGGAATGCAATTGTTCGGTTTGGTTTTTTAAAGCTTCACCCTGGCTCTTGCAATATCATTATCATCATCATCATGTAGCAGGTCCTTTGAGGAACGTCGCACTCATCAGAGTCTGCCTGAAAGAAACTCGGTCTGTCATGCACTTTCACACTCAAGGAGTCACTTATATCCTGTGCCCATCTTCGTGTCGGTCCGACCCTGCCCCTCCTTCCTGGTACCATGCCTTCTGCTATATTTTTTTCCAATCCGTCGTGGCGCTTGATATGACCAAAATATTTCAGCTTTCGAGAAAGGATGCTGTTTATTAGCCACTCTTCCTTCTTGCAGTATAGCCAGGCCATAAATATGGTCTAATAGCTGAACGCGGTTCCCGAGACCTCTCCACGGTTGATCCTCATCCACATGGTGGCACTTTGTTTCATCAGGTGTTTATCGCTTGTGTGATGTCCTGGTGGTGTAGAATCGACTACTACTACTTTCCTGATTCAAAATAAAAGTTAGATATGTAGTATCATCATCATCATGTAACACGCCTATGTGTGTTATGATCATTGTTTGCCGACCCAAATCAGAAGCATTTAAGCCTTTCTTAGATTTCTTACCGTTTTCTTCGTTGCCATCAAGTGTTTAATCCAGGTATTATTTGAACCTCGCCTCAAACAGTTTCGGGTCCAGATCTAATTTCCTTTAGGTAAAGGGCGTCTTCAGGCGTGTTGTGCATATAAAAACTGAACATATATTTTATAGACCAAGCGGCACTCAGTTGGTGATGAGGCCAACATCACGCCAGCCGTCTTTACTTCCAATAACTTTACCTTGTACAAATATAAGGCTGGGTCGAGCTGGTTATCTGCTGAAGAATACATGATTTGCGATTGAACTGAGAAGTCCTATCATCCATATATAAAATCGCTATCCAGAATTTAGAGCCTTCGTGACAGGGCTGTGAATACGTATTGGCGTGTATAATATTACTTACCAAAGGGTCATTTTTGTTGTCGCAGGCGGTCTTGATCAGGTTTTCTGTCTCCCAGGCTATACTATTGGCATCTGTACCGGTGGCGAACTTATCACACAAGACCTAAAGAGATACAGACAGCAGGTTGCACATTTTGGCACAATTCATCATTCACATATGTCATGCACGCGAGATACACCATTTAGAGCAATGAGATATATATGCTTGGGCTGACATCGACAAAGTCTAGACTGTCACTGGCACAAGCCGAGGCCTATGTGCGAGTTAGCAATGATGAAAGGCATCCGCCGAATGGCAGCATGAAAGATTTAAGAGAAGACAGGCTGAAAATAGGAAAGTCATGGATGGCACTAGCTGAAGAGCCCATCAAGATGGCGGTCTAGGTCAAGCAAATACACAGGGGGCAGGAATGGGTCGACACGGACACCCACAACAGCAGTTTTAATCAGTTTATTATTGCGTTAGGGAGAGAATGTAGAGGGTTGTGCAACGGCATCGCAGAATTTGAGGTACAATTACTGATAGGTGGCAATGCTGGGCTAGATGATGCAGTAGTGTACACCGACGGTTCTGTTCATCAGGGTGTAAGATCTGGCTGGGGATTTTCAGCTAGAATGAAGGAAAAGATTGTGGAAGAACAAAATGGAGTATTTTTATCTACAACTTCAAGCATGGGAATGGAGGTGGAGGCAATCACTGCAGTTCTGAGGTGGATAGAGGAAACAAAGTTACCAGAGGAATTATTGTGTCTGATTTTCAGTCGACACTGCGGAAGGCTCGATATGAACTAATATAGAATGAGTGGATCCAAAGCATCAGTACGCTAACATTACAGGGAATCACGTGGATATACAGTCCGGGACATGCAGGAGTACGAAAGAATGAAAGAGCCGATTTTCTGGCTACCGAGGCGGAAGCTAGGAGAACAGTCGTACAGGACAAGAGAGATATTCCGATGGCCATATATAAAAGAATGTTGACAGAAAACAATATAAGATAAAATAACACTTGTAGACGAGGAATTAGGTATGTATTCAGCAAGGAGGGATGAATGAGAGGAAGAGAACGACGTGTGTATAATCAGTGTGCTACGGAAACATAATCTACACCTTAAGACATTTGCTACGGGTAACAGAGCACCAATGGGTATGCCAGGTGTGCTATAATGTCGATTCCTAAATCAGTAATAAGTCTCAGGTTATGATCAAATACATTCCAGGTGAACCGATTAGAACTTCCCCATGATCGTATGAGATCGCGAAACATGACAGCTATACTTATTGGCATGGCACATTAACTCTGGTCTGGTCTGGTCTAGTCTGGTCTAGCCTAGTCTGATCTAGTCTGGTCTAGCCTAGTCTGATCTAGTCTGGTCTAGCCTAGTCTGATCTAGTCTGGTCTAGTCTGGTCTAGTCTGGTCTAGTCTGGTTTAATCTGTCTAGTCTGGTTTAATCTGTCTAGTCTGGTTTAATCTGTCTAATCTGGTCTAGTCTGGTCTAGTCTGGTCTAGTCTGGTCTAGTCTGGTCTAGTTTACCTGGTCTGGCCTATCTGGTCTGGTCTGGCCTATCTGGTCTGGACTATCTGGTCTGGTCTATCTGGTCTGGTCTATCTGTCTGTCTGTACTCTCTCTCTCTCTCTCTCTCTCTCTCTCTCTCTCTCTCTCTCTCTCTCTCTCTCTCTCTCTCTCTCTCTCTCTCTCTCTCTCTCAAGGGTTGAGATTAAAGTCGAAAAGATCCAATTTATTGCACTGGGTTTTATCACATATATTTTGGTTTCCATTTGCAGAACGGCTAGAGGCCCGTCGAGAGTGTCGCACAAAGAACGAGCTTTAGAGCTCCGGTGACAACTCCCAGCGATCTCTGTCAAAATTGCACTCGTGAACTGAATGACAGTGGTGAAATGAACCCACAACCTTAAGAGCAAGAGACAAACGGCTTGACCAATTCACCACGGAGAACCCCCCCCCCCCTTTTTTTCCCTTCCTACACCCCCGCCCACATTCTTTCTTTCTATCCATTTCTTTCGTGGATAGTTTTTGTGTTTAGTAGGCTCAAAAGAACACATAGGTATCTTAAACATATACATGTAGTTTCGTTAGTAACTATCTGACAAGTTTCTGACATCTGTACATACCTGTGTCTTTCTTCTGCATTCCTCTTCTTGCCCGGGTATCACAGCTAGCGTGAAGATAAAATGGTCGGCGGGGTTGTAATTCTTTGGGCAGGGATAATTATGCCTGTAGAGGTTAGACAGATACATTATATGTAAACCAACACAACTTGTCAAGCACTCTTTTTATTGTGAACGCTGGTGTAATGATTAATGGATTGACATATACGGTGGTGGTAAAAATTGACAAAATGTGCTTCATCCTGTATAATATGAAGATTTGAAGTTTTGAACAACGGATCAACATCATAGCACACGAGTAGTAACCCATAAGTGCTGCGTTCTTCTTCTAACTAAAGTCTGAGCACGAAGAAGCTCAACACAGTGCACAGGCTCTGTAGCACTGACGAGGATCATGAAATACTTTGGGCAGATTTTTTTTTGCCAATTTTGCCCGGGCAGCGCCGTTAGGCTACTCTTTTCGATTTCCAACTGCCAAGTGATTTTTTTACGTGCGCAACAATGCACACGGGCGTCCGATCTCATTACTCGGAGACCAGGGGGAATTACTAGAAGTTCAAGTCCACATGAAAAATCTTAGCCTTTGCTGGGTAATAAACCCGGAACCTCTAGCACTTGAGGCGGACACTATGACTCAAGACCAAGCAGCCCCCTTGTATAATAGAAGGACGGTCGTGATGGTAATTTCAAAGTAAAGAATAAGGCCTAAATGTATATCATAAAAGTCGAAAGTGTTATTTCCAGAAAAAGTACAGAAAGTCGAGTATGTGGGACATGGTTAACATCCGAGGGAAGATGAATTTTCAAGATAAAGAACAATAGGACAGGCCAAAACTGCAAATCAAAGAAACATTTAATGCAATAAACCAAGGTCTCTGGGGGTTAGGAAAGTAATCTCGCATACTATGGAAAGCCAGTTTAAACATACGGCTGTGAATCCTGGACAATTAATAAACAGGCCAAACCATTTCTTGAGGCCTATCACTTCTGTCATCCCCATTGTTGGATGCAGTTGTATGTTGTTCTTTTTTAAGCCCCACCCTGGCTTTTGCCGGGGGCCCTAAATATAGCCTGACGGCTGAACGGGGTTTCCATGACCTCTCCATGGGTGATCCTCAACCACATTGTGGCACTTTGTGTCACCGGGTATTTATCGCTTGTGATGTCCGGGTGGGGTACAACTTACATCTCTTGATGCCTGGGAGGCGTGTTTTCGAAAAAGAATCCTTAGAATTCCTTAGACAGGCAACATAAGCAACATAGTCATTTTGAAAGACGCCAGAGCTTGAAAACAACTTATAACAAACTGAAAGAGACAGCAGTCATTTTTATTATGTTTATGAACATAAGGAAACGAACATGTGACAGCCTGAAAGATCTCTGGAAAATAGACAGGGGAAGACAATGAGAGACTATTCTTGGCAGCCTTTGTGGTGGCCAGGAGAGTTACCAACACACGAACTGATAGGTCGCAGATTGTGGAGAGGCATGATTACCCACGCCAGTCGGCAGGGCACGTGATGTTGATGAGTGACTTTAAAAAAGTGCATTATTTACTGACTTATTATTTATTGTGATTTCTTGCATTGTAGGACACAAAATAACATCAGTGAGTACAAAAGATAAATTAACATACAGGTATGTAATTAGTACCTCTCAAAGAATTCTATAGCACCATCAGGTGATCCTAGAAACACTGTTCTTCCTTCAGAAAGGAGAAGAATTCTGTGAAACAATTAAAAAAAATATCTTGAGTAAATACTTTATTGTTTAGTTGCTATCCTTTACATGACGTTGCAGAACCAACCCCAGCAGCCCCTGGCTGTTGTGTGGTTTATCTAGGCAAATTTACGTCCAGTAGTTTGTCATTGCTTTCTGTACGGTCGGTCCCCTGATCCCACTGTCGAAACTAACGCAACGCGCATGGCCCGCAGCTGGGATCGAACCCGGCACGCCGGCATTACGAAGCGTTCGCTTCGACTTAGCCACAGAGTCGACAAAACCTTTATTACTTATGTAAAATTAACTCACCTAATACACTGATACGCTTTTTTTTTTTTTCTTGGAAGCTATTTTGTTTGTTTTTAAGTTTCTGTTCAGTAATTGGTTGTTACAGTATTTATTACAGCGTTACATTTAAGGTGTTGGGGTACAATAGAAGGGTCAAAAACTAATTTTTATCACAGAATCAATCAAGTATATAGTTTAGATATGACTTTTATTTGTTTTTAGCAAATTGAACTCACTAATTATGCTAATTAGCTGCCCAATATGGCCACTGAGGTACATAAATTATACACTATAAAAATTTTAAATATGGTATTTGAAAAAGAATTTGACTGAAACTTGACAGAGTGAATTATTTCATATAATCATATATATAACACAAAATCTTACAATACCTTTTGTAAAGCCACAATTTCATCTTGTCCGAGTGTATAAAGCGAAGGAGGAGAGTCCGATGCCTGGAAGTCATGACCTAGGTCGGCCCACCCTCCGAGATATAGGAAGTTTATAGACCGAAACAATTGTAAAGGGACCCACCTACTTATGAACGCTAGACTCCTACTGCGCATGCTTCCCTTGTCGAGTTATTATTTATAATTTTTTCGTGTAAACTGAGAACCTCAATTAGAATGGTGGACATTGAATGAACGGTAATTTTCTTTTAATTCAATTAAAATGTTTAGAATGTGTGACATTTGTGTCTCATACATGTAAAACTGCATTCGGACTTTCACAACGGAACATATTTTTAGTAAATTACTTGTTAAACAGGGCGAACAGGTCCGAGGAGGGTTGGTGTATGGTGCACAGAATGGTTCTGCCTTTCTCTGCCATCTCCTAATTTGAAAAAGAAATCATTGAGAACACAGGAATAAACAATTATATTTATAACAATTATATATATATATATATATATATATATATATATATATATATATATATATATATATATATATATATATATATGTATATATATATATATATATATATATATATATATATATATATATATCAGACAGACAGACAGAGGTACATATATGTACACGCATGCACACACACACACACACACATATATATATATATATATATATATATATATATATATATATATATATATATATATATATATATATATAACAAATGTTAATTTTCGATTTTGTTAGCTCTAAACTCGGAAACTACTGAACCTATTGCTTTCAAATTTTCACACAACGTCGCCTCTGACTCAAAGCATTTTTTTTTTTTGGGTCATAAAATCGCACAAACCACGAACGACGTAGCTCCAGCAACGGTCCAATCAATATTTGCTTCGTTGCCCGCCCGGATTTTTTTTAAATCAATTGGCCACCTTTAACTGTGCAACACCGACCTTCACATTATTATTATATACTTTTATTTCTACTAAATGGTTGAATATTTAGTAGCGTAGTTGGTTGTAAGCATTTCGCATTTTACTCCGGTGATAGGGGTTCGATTCCCAGCTGGGTGACATAATTTTTTTGGGGGGGGGGGGGGGGGGGGCCTAACTGGGTGGCTGCCACGTTTTGTTGTGGTTTATAGCTAGGCTGCAGTATCTATGCTTTTTTCCGTTCGATTTTAGGGTTTACAGCTAGCCTGCGATAGCGGCGACGTGATGCTCAATGTTCATGTCACGGGCAATATAAGTTCGCCCTTGAGAGGGCGGTTGGTACGTTGTGTTGTGGTTCAAAGCTAGGCTGCGATATGTGACCTAAAGTGTTCAGTCTTCGGTAGTAGAGCATTTCGCCCTTCACGTGGATAGCGGGTGTTCGATTCCCCGTTGGGTGCTAATTTTTCTTATTCCCTAAAGGCGCGATTGGCATGTTGTGTTGTGGGTTACAGCTAAGTTGCGACATATGCGCCTTACGCCCAAAGACATCCGATTTAAGTACAGTCTAAATTAGCCCCTTCCCCCCCCCCCCATTTTACGCTTCAGTCGATCAAAAACTATTCGTTAATGACAGAAACTGTTAACTAAGAAGGCTTACGGTCCAGTTTGGTTTGGTTCGACACGGATGCCAATGTTAATTATACATCGTCACTTCGGACTGCGAGAGATGACGAGTGCGGGTTTTTATTTCCGCTATTTGTGAGTATTGTGTACTTTTTTTTATATCACGGAATATTACTGTGGGTTCCATCACTGGTTAGGTGATAGAGTTTTATGTCGGGGACACACTTAAACTAAAACAGTCCGTGGCGACAGCATGCGCGCCAACTCCTATGGCTACAACGACCTGTACAGACAGTAGTGACCGTTTTGTGGTGTTGTTGTGACGGTGGTGATGGTAGTGGTAGCTGTTACACTGGCCACATTTACTTCTCAGTACAGATTAATGCTATCGGTTTTTATCTGGGTAGACACGGATGCCAAGCTCAATTTAACAACAATATTTCGTCAGGCGATAACTTCCACATACTTCGTAGAGGATGATATGATTGTCACGGGAGGGAAGGGAGTGGTGGAGGAGGTTGATACCAGACATTGTTAACTGAGAGAGCTTAAAACATTATTTTACATTTCTCATGTCTTAACTATTTCTATTTTAACAATGTCGCCACATAATAATGTTTCAATCATTCGGAGAGGGAGATATAATTGGGCAAATGCTTGAGTCCTTGGCAGCGTAGTTGTCTGTTTTGCGTGTTACGCGGGTGACTGGCGATCAATGCCCCGCTGGGTGATTAAATTTTTTTTTGCCTCTAACTAAGCGGCTGGCACGTTTTGTTGTGGCTTACAGTTAGGCTGCGATATCAAGGTCTTCTTTCCGCTCGGTTTGGGGGTTTACAACTAGCCTGCGATAGCGGCGATGAGATGTTGGTCATGTCACGGGTAATCTTCGTTCCCCTTTAAGAGGTCGGTTGGAACGTTGTGTTGTGGTTTACAGCTAGGCTGCGATATCGGACCCAAACTCTTCAGTATTATGTAGTATATTTGTACGTATTCCGCCCTTCACGTGGTTGACCGGTGTTCAATTACCCACTGGGTGCTAATTTTTATTTTTCCCTCAAGAGGGCTGTTGGCATGTTGTGTTGTGGTTTACAGCTAGGTAGCGATGTCTGCACCTTTCGCCCAAAGACATCCGATTTCAGTAAAGCCCCATTTATCCTCCCCGCGACTCTTCACTCGACAATAAACTATTCGTTGATGTCATAAGCTATTAACTAAGACTGATTACAGTCCAGTTTACTTTGGGTGAACACGGATGTCAAGGTCATTTAACATTCGTCCCTTCGGAGAGGGGAGATGACGGGTGGGAGTTTTTATTTCCGCTATTTGTGAGTATAGAACAGACTATTACTGTGGGTTCCATCACTGGTTAGGTGATGTTTTTTTTTGGTTTTTTTTTTTTTTTTTGGGGGGGGGGGGGGGGGGGGGGGGACTCAATTACAGTAATCAGTCCGTGGCGACATCCTGCATCGCTAACTCCTCTGGCGACAGCGACCTGCACAGACAGTAGTGACTGTTTTTTGTTTTTTGTTCTGAAGGTGATGGTGGTAGTGGTAGCAGCAGTACTGGTACTGGATGGGTGATGTGGTAGCTGTTACACTGACCACATTTACTTCTCATTACATATTAATGCTATCCATCTGTCTCTGGGTAGATACGGATGCAAATCTCAGTTTAGTTACAATATTTCGTCACATGATGACTTTCCCATCCTTCGGCGAGGATTATATGATTAGAGGGGGCGGGGGTTGATAGCAGAAACTGTTAACTGAGAGAGCTTGAAACATTATTTTAAAGTTATAATTTCTTAAATATTTCTATTTTAATAATTTCGCTAAGTAATGATTTTTTATTCCTTCAGAGTGGGAAATATTGGGGGGAGGGGGGGGGGGAGGGTTATGCCAGACACTGTTAGCTAAGAGAGCTTAAAACATTATTTTCAAGTTCTCATTTCTTAACTATTTCTATTTTAATACTTTCGCCAGGGATGATTTTTCAATCCTTCGGAGAGGGAGATCTAGCTGTAAACCCTAAAATCGAACGAAAAAAAGCGTAGATACTGCAGCCTAGCTATAAACCACAACAAAACGTGGCAGCCCTCCAGTTAGGGGCTCCCCACCCCAAAAAAAAAATTATATCACCCAGCTGAGAATCGAACCCCTATCACCCGAGTAAAAAACGAAATGTTTACAACCAACTACGCTACTCAAGTATTTAGTAGACATGAAAGTATATAAAAACAATGTGAAGGTCGGTGTTGCACAGTTACAGGTGGCCAATTGATTAAAAATAAATCCGGGCTGGCAACAAAACAAATTTTGATTTGACCATTGCTGGAGCTACGTCGTTCGTGGTTTGTGCGATTTTATGACCCAAAAAAATGCTTTGAGTCAGAGGCAACGTTGTGTGAGAATTTGAAAGCAATCGGTTCAGTACTTTCTGAGTTTAGAGCTAAAGACATCGGAAAATTTTTAGATATATATATATTTGTGTTCAAGAAACAATATCGTCATTAATTCTGGTCAGTCATATAACATGTCTGTGTGTCTGTCAGTGCGTCCGTATACTTTTCTTCAGTCCGTCTTTCTAGTGTCTCACCGCCCCTCTAGTGTGTTTTTAAAGATGAATTGCAGGGAATGTATAGTGTGATCATTACCACGTCAGCCACGTATAGCATGAAAAGAACTGGAAGCGCTGGTCCTTGTTTTAAAAAATCGGCTTTACTTGAATTTAAGTCTAAGACCGCCAAACCATAAGGCAAATGTGATACCCACTAAACATTGGTATTTTTGTCAATGGGTATTTCTTCCAATGGCTGATGCTTTACATAGACCTAAAAAGAGCAAGACAATATGTCCTTCACCTACAATATATATATATGTGTGTTTGTGTGTGTGTATGTTTGTATAAATGTAAATATATACATACATATACATATATATACACACATACATACACACACCCACACACACATATATAATATATATATATATCCTATTAACTTTAAACTGGGCTCTTTTCAAACCATGTAGTGCCTTTTAAAAACCAAACTGTACAATTTTCAAACCACTAAGGGCATTTTTCAAACTAAACTGGACACTTTTTTTCAGACTATTCTCAAATTATCTAGGACGTGTTTTTTTTAATAAAACGAGGATTTCACACTGGGACGGTGGTTTTTTTTTTTTTTTTTTTAAATCAAACTAGACAAACTGCAAATAAAATAACTCCCAAATAATAATAATAAAAATAATTTAACCACATTCACGAATAATCTGGAACATTAGAGCAGATTTAGAAGAAATATTACCTAATTATGTCTAGAAATTTGATTAAAGAAAGCTCTAAATATGAATGCGCCACAATCACTGTACTGAATGGACCACTTAAACTCGCGAAATAACCAAACATGAGCAACGAACCTTAGAACGACGCGGCCATGACCCCGATGCAGCGTACAGGCAAGCGAATTTCATTGGCGCTAAAGAAAGATCGTAATAAAACATGTGTTGTTTGATGGCTACTGAGGCTACTGAAGTATCTAGAACCAACGGGAGCACAGTAATAAACAAGTAAAAATGCGTGGGGGGGGGGTGGAGAAGCTATTCCATATGTCCTTTCTTGCATCGAAAATATTACTGAACGACATCCAGAGGATACTTTGGTGCAGATACAGCAGCGGCGGAAGGAAAATAGGACTGACCTGAATTGGACTGTTTCTACGATTTCAATGCCCTCAGAAAGCTACAGATCACCTTCAAGACCTGTCAACACAGGCTTGACCGCGTCAATAGTACCATGACTGTAAGTCGGCAAACTTGTGCTCTCGACTTCTCAGCACATACTTCGCAAGACAAGGAGAAGTGCATCTTCATTGATGATAGTGGATTCAACCTCTATCGACGACGGACGCAGGCTCGCTTAAGAAGAGGGACACGATCAAACATAACCCTACCACCTGTTAAAGACCCCGCGATTACACTAACCGTGGCAATGAATAACTAAGGTATAGTTCACTCACACATCATCGGTGATAGTACCCGCAATGACGTAAACTTCTGGACATTCGTCAAGTTTGTGGCCCGTATAGGTAGCAGAGAGAAGCTGAACGGTGCATGACTGTTAAGGGACAATGCTAGAATCCAAAGACATAATCCAATGAGAATTGTGGGCTCAACTTATCTAAAGTTCCTGTCACCTTACTCCTGCATGCTGAACCTAGCAAAAAACGTCTTCTCGAAGCTGATGGCAAGGAAAAGCACTTGCTGGGAGACATACCCGACCAGACACTAAACACGGTCACTGAAGTTAGTTAGTTGCGTATCCTTTACAGGACGTTGCAGAACCAACCCCAACAGCCCCTGGCTGTTGTGTGGTTTTTCTAGGCTAATTTACGTCCAGTAGTTTGCCATTGTTTCTAGACGGTCGGCTTTCTTGAAACCACTGTCTAAACCAACGCAAGATGCATGGCCCGCAGCTGGGATCGAACCCGGCGTTAGGCGTTTGTTACGAAGCGTTCGCATCGACTAAGCCACAGAGCCGACTGGTCACTGAAGAGAGCAGCGAAAACGATAAAGCAACCAGACTACACTAATTGCGTCCTCCATATGATGATGAACTTGACTACAACAGCAGCAGGACAGCCTAAAGTAAACTGATTTTAACTTAGCTCTCACTTGCTTTCTTGAATATTGATTATTCTCAATGTCAAAATGCCCCGATTTGTTGGTTAAAGAAGTATCAATTGTGACAATAAACTGTATCCACTTTGATTTGAAAATGCTCAAGTTTGGTAGAAAATCGTTCTAGGCATTTTGAAAAAAAGCAGGTTGATTTAAAGAAAAAAAAAACGGCAGCTTTGGTTTAAAAATCGTCCACTTAGGTTAGCAAAACGTCCAGTTTAAAATCAAGATGGTACGTACAAACACACACACACACACACATACACATTTCCCTCTTCGCTATGATAGACAAATAAAACTGTTTGCTGAAGTGGGCAATGTGAAGATACACGTTTGGATAAAATGATAATAGATAACCGTAAGAGGTGACTTAAAAACAAAGGGCACTGAGGTGGATATGATAAGTCAGCTAAATACATTTGAAACAAGTATGACAAACTAATAGGCAATACTGACTTTTGTCAGAAGCAAAAACTTTACCGCGACTAAGAACAGTGACCGTGCCTATCGCCCATTTGAAACCGTAACGTTCATATAAGCTGTAAGGAGACTAAGACTTTCTGTTCTGCTTTTAGTTAACTGAATAAAGCTTTAACAATCGCAATAATGTTCATATAACGATCACTAAATTATCATAAAGCAATTTTAAAAAACAGAAAATTTTTGTGATGGAACAACAAACTGTTACCTGTAAAGTGTGTACCAGGTTCTGAGCCATGAAAGTGTCCAGTCCTGAGGTGGGCTCGTCACAGAAGAATATTGGCGGGTTGGTGAGAGCTTCAGATGCGAATGACAGACGTTTTCTTTCTCCTCCAGAAATTCCTTTCTTTCCTCCCCCAGGAGTACCAATCCTGGTGTCTGCACAATTTGTCAGTCCCAGCTGTTGAACCATAGGCAGCATTCACAGTGTCCATGTTTTCTATTATCAATGTGACTAATGTGACAGAATTTACAACACCATATTGACTCCTTACATCAGGGGTTCTAACCTATGGGTCGCAACCCTTTTCTGGGTTGAACGATCCTTTCACAGGGGTCACATGAGACCATCGGAAAACACATATCCATTGAAGTTCTAAAGTTGCAACGAAAATAATTTTATTGAGAAACTGTATTAAAGGGTCACGGTATTAGAAAGGTTAAGAACCACTGCTTACATCAAGCCTGCACAAAGTATGACATGGGAATAAATACAGCAAAAAAACTGAGGCAATGAGGGTAGGTAGGAGACATAATATCATGAACTTTCATGTTAACAGTACTATAATCAACTAGTTGTAAGAATTCAAATATCTAGGAAGAGTATTTACAGAGGACTGCAGACTCGATAGAGAGATAAAAGCCAAAGTACAGAAATCAAATGCTGTCACCCACTAGTTAGTCCCACTGCTTACACACCTAAATGTCTCCCATCCAGCAAAGCAGCAAATGATAGCATCTTTATCCCTACTTCATGTTATCAGTGCCAAACATGGACAATAATCATAGCAAGCTCACTAACAACACAAGAAGAGACAGAGTTACCAATACCAGCATCAGAGAGAAAGTTGGAATCAGATCATGTCTGGATTATATAAGAATGAAAAGCCTCAGTCATTTAGTGAGAATGCAGCCAGGCCAGACCGCATATTAGACTTTTTATAGCAGAATATATGGGAGAAAGGAGAGAGGAAGACCAATAAAGAAGTTAATAAATTGTGTAGCTAAAACCTGCACACACACAAAAATTAACAAATGCACTACCCGGGCCACCCGAGAAATGCGGGACTAATGCAAAAAACCACGACACCGGGATACAACCAGGTATCAGTGGACGACAACAGAAGGAGCAAAAGGAAAAAAAGTTACTAAGTTATAAAAATGTCATTGCGACGGTGGAGAATGCTTTGAGCAATCGGAATGCCAGTACCAACAGTGGGTGCCAGAATCTGGAGCTAAGTATAACCCCCCCCCCCCCCCCCATCCCCCACCCCCCCCCCCCACCCCCCCACCCCCACATCGAATAATTTATAAATGTAACCTAGATTGTCTCATGTTTTTTTTTTAGAACCGTTGATAGACGGTTTGTAACTGAGAACAGTTGACGGACGTTTGTAACTGAGAACAGTTGATGGACGATTGTTACTGAGAACCGTTAATGGACGTTTGTAACTGAGAACCGTTGATATACGTTTGTAACTGAGAACCGTTGATAGGCGTTTGTAACTGAGAACGTTGATGGACGTTTGTAACTGAGAACCGTTGATGGACGTTTGTAACTGAGAACCGTTGATGGACGTTTGTAACTGAGATCCGTTGATGGATGTCTGTAACTGAGAACAGTTGATGGACGTTTGTAACTGAGAACAGTTGATGGACGTTTGTAACTGAGAACCGTTGATGGACGTTTGTAACTGAGAACCGTTGATGGACGTTTGTAACTGAGAACAGTTGATGGACGTTTGTAACTTCCTAATTTTCGTCATCATGCAAAAAGACTAGTGATCAGAATCACTTCCCTAGGAAAGTACAATGGAGTGGTATATTTTACGACATTACCCGGCGCTCTAGTTCAGTTGGTTAAACCAGCCTGCGCGGTGACCGGGTGACAATCTCCTTGTGGTCCGAGTTCGAGCTCGGGGGTAGGAAGAAAAAGCCATATATTTCCCAGATTTACGGTGTGGAATCAAGGCCGACGGGTTGCGATATCCACAGTATCGAGTCAAATGGTTTACAACTCATGATTTCTGGATCAATTAAAAAAGTATTTTTTAAAGACATTTGTTCTTTTTTAATACGTAAAACTGAACCCCCCCCCCCCCCCCTCTTTCCCCTTTTCCTCCATGGGGTCACCCTACCGAAAATGAAATACGAATTACTTGCAGTCACATATAAACAAAAAAACTTACTTCAATAATGACTTCCTCGACACGGGCTAGTCTTGCTGACTTGTCCAATCTCCTGTCCATTCTCAACAAAGCCTGAGGAATACAGCATGAGAAACTAGACTCTCTTGCACAGACTTCTGGTGATTTTTTATACCCTAATACATTGCAAGTGCAGTCACCATGAACTGTGCGTTCTGGGACAATTGCTACCCTTACCAAGGAAGGATCAACCATGGATCTCCCGCATGAGAGGCCAGCCTCTAACCACTCGACCAGCCATTTTCCGTTGCCAAAACAAAAATTTGCGTGCATGGAAAACTATCCACTCTCCCCTCCAGAAACTATATATCGACTTTTCAACTCAAGACTTTTATCACACATTGTTTTGTTGAAATTTCACCAGCTGTGGATCCACTTCTTGAGCTATATATATATATATATATCGCTGCTCACTTGTGGTGTGAAAATAGGAAAAGGAAGAATAATAAACAAGTGCACAAGAACTGACTGGCACTCATAGAAAGAAGTAGAGAGATAAGAGGTCACACAAGGCAACATAAAAATGGAAAGCTGTTACCATGCCGGGAATCTAAACTGTCGCCTCCAAGTGATGTAAGCGCCTCGCTGAAGCGAGTGCACTAATACGCATGGCCACTCGACACCGAGGGCCAGGAAGATGGGGAGTTAACGCTTGAAGGAAAGGGCTGACTTTAATGTATCTGGTTTTATCCTATATGGCTCAGAACGACTGGTCGCCTCCTTAAATGCGCCACAGAAAGAACGAGCTCCACAGCTTTGGAGATGATATGAAGCGACATCTGTAAAAGGTGTGCTCGTGAACTGGACAGCGCAGCCGTAAAACAAAATCTAGACCTTTAGAGTGGAAAACAAACGGCATGACCCTTTCGCCGCAGAGACAGATACCCAGAGAGATGATGCGGAGTGAAACGAGTGAGAGTAAGGTGGTTAATATGTAGGTTTTACAAAGCAGAGGAAGAATACAAGGTAAGAAGATTAAAAATGGTGTGGTCAGAAAGGTTAAGGCAATGTATAACAAAATTAGCATGGAGATAAACAGTTATGGGTAAGGTAATGGAGCTTAGAAAGAAAAGAGGTTGAAAGCAGAGAACGTATACGAAAGGCTGAATTAAGAAGGTTTGTATGGTTAATTTGTCATAAATTAAAAATACATTTTTTTTCCGCCCCCCCCCCCATATTCCACTTTTAACTTCTCCCCCCCCCCCTCCTCTCTCTCTCACCCCCATCCCTGTCTGTCCCTTTCTCTGTGTTTTCCTTTCACATCTCCCCACCCCTCTCAAATACTGCAACCTCTCTGTGTCAAATAATCTTACCCGGAACTGCAGCTGCTCTCTCACTGTCAGTGTGTCGATGAACAGATCATCTTGCTGGACGTACGCGGATACATTCTTGATACCATCTCCAACCTAAAATTCAAAGCACAACTTTACTTAGCAGACTAACACAACACACATTTATCTATTTTCTTCAATCCATATCTACAACTGGATGTTTAAATGTCAATATTCTACAGCCTTACGGCGCTACTAAAGATATTTATTTAAAAATAACCAAGCTTTGATTCTGTCGTACTCTCTTATATGTTATTAAACTATTAAAGTCCAACAGCTGAACAATAAAAGATCATCTTCAGGGATTTATTGAGTACAGACAACAAAACTAAAAGTTCAGTGGTTAAACAATATAAGAACATCATCTTCATGGATTTCTTACGTAAAGATGACACATCTGAAAAGGCCACAGTTACCAGAACCACTTGTAGAGTCACATGCTTCTTCGCTAGTGTTTACTGATTCAGTTGCATCTCTTCTTTTCTCTATTGTTTAGAGCCATTTTGCGTGGACTACTAAAAAAAATTTAATCACCTAAATAAAAATTAGCTCGCTATATTTGGTCTAACATTTTAATGCGGTTGCTAGACCAACTGGCACAACGTCCTCTGGAGACTCCACATCCCTGACCTAGTATAATGTGAGAGAAGAGAATCGATATTTAGGAGAAATAGAAAGAGTCGTTAAAATGAGATGTTAAAGTCTTGGACATATTGGCATGAATGGACAAGGCCGTACACGTAACAGAAGACTAGAAAAACATGGTGACCAAATCCGGACAGCATGGATAATGTTTAATGCACGTTGTTGAAAAGTAATGAAAGAGCACAGTGCAGCGCAACTTCTTGTTACCTATTCTTGAAATAAAGATAAAGTAATAAACTTAAAATGGTTGGTCCGAATTAAAAGGTAATGAAAGACCAGCTGGCAATTATTGCACACTGCATGTGGGAGGACGCATGGACGGAGCAGGTACCAACAGCGCTACATGTACAGAATCAGATGGCAAATATTGCACACTGCATGTGGGATGACTCATGGACGGATAAGAAACCAACAGTGCTACATGTACAGAATCAGATGGCAAATATTGCACAATGCATGTGGGATGACTCATGGACGGACCAGGTACCAACAGTACTACGTGTACAGACTCAGATGGCAAATATTGCACAATGCATGTGGGATGACTCATGGACGGACCAGGTACCAACAGTACTACGTGTACAGACTCAGATGGCAAATATTGCACAATGCATGTGGGATGACTTATGGACGGAGCAGGTACCAACAGTACTACATGTACAGACTCAGATGGCAAATATTGCACACTGCATGTGGGATGACTTATCGACGGAGCAGGTACCAACAGTACTACATGTACAGACTCAGATGGCAAATATTGCACAATGCATGTGGGATGACTTATCGACGGACCAGGTACCAACAGTACTACATGTACAGACTCAGATGGCAAATATTGCACAATGCATGTGGGATGACTTATGGACGGAGCAGGTACCAACAGTACTACATGTACAGAATCAGATGGCAAATATTGTACACTGCATGTGGGATGACTCATGGACGAAACAGAAACCAACAGTGCTACATGTACAGACTCAGGTGGCGGACAATGACGGCTCCCCGAGGTTAACAGAATTAGGCAAGGTCAAAACGAAGCCCACTGAAGCATGACGAAGCCATCTGCTAGGATAAGATAGAATTTTGAATCAAGAACTGACATCACAGCGAGTGTGACACCCATATAAACGCTCCGTTCACATCTTCAGCAGCAAGCGAAGAGTTCAAATTCCCATGGTACCAGTAAATGTGTGATTATTTATTCGTCTCGTCCTAAAATAGAAGATATCAGCCAACTTCTCATGAGAACAATCAGTAGAGGTACCTTGTGGTGGCTGCTAAATCTGAAGACTGGGCTCGCATGGGAAAGCCCAGGGTGCAGTGACGTCGACTGTGCAAACATGAGATAACATAAAAAAGAGTGACGGACTTACGTTCCAGCCGTTCAGACGTATATCGCCAGAGAATACATAAGACTTAGTGTTCCTGTGAGTCAACACGTTCAGAAGAGTAGACTTGCCTGCACCACTGAAATATAGAAGAAATAAAAATGATTTGAGCTGTTCGTGTTTAAATCATTAGAACCGTTACAGCACAGTGGCTAGCATTCTTTCCCTACTGCCTTGAGGTTATGGGTTCGAATCTAAAACCAGGCAGAGATTTTAAATTGATCTGCGCCTGGGCTCCCATGTAAATTCTTTCTAAAAGAGGCACCAAGAAATGTGAAAATTGTAGTGGTCAACTAAGCGAGCAAGAGGTAGCCCGTGATACAATTTGGAGGAGAAAATCAAGTGATATGAGAACAGAGAGTGCCGGGAAAACCTCTGCAGTCAATTTTAACTACGGAAAAGACACATGATTGATTGAGTGGTCAGCGTCATAGTAACCACATGGTTTCTTTAGTACCGATAATTTAAAAAACAAGCAACAAACGCCTAACAGTTTGATACAACACTAGCAACAGGCTAAAGTTAGCATGCTCAGAGCATACGGTACCTGTAAAACATGCAACATGAAGCGATGATCCATGCACAATCACTATTAAAAAAAACACTGCAATTGTGAAATCAAATGTTCATTTAAAATAAAAACTAACTCCTCTTCTATAGGGATCCTGAAAAAGACAATAACGACATAATTTGAAAAAAAAAAATGATGGTTGAGCCTAGAACCGACATGATAGTACTAGAGACATTCCCATTAGCATTGTTTTCTAAACAAAAGTATACAAATGTGTTTTTTTTTCTTGTGTGTGTGGTTGCTTTCAGATCGACCCAGACTAAAATAGGAGCCAGATAGTGTCCCGATAGCAATGTTGGCCTGCGTGATGTTGACCAGTGCCGAGTGGGTGATGTTGACTGCATTTCCCACTCAGTGCCGAGTGCGTGATGTTGACCATATCACCCACTCAGTGGCAAGAGAGTAATGCTGACCACATCACCCACTCAGTCCCAAGAGAGTAATGTTGACCACGTCACCCACTCAGTGGCAAGAGAGTAATGTTGACCATATCACCCACTCAGTGGCAAGAGAGTAATGCTGACCACATCACCCACTCAGTCCCAAGAGAGTAATGTTGACCATGTCACCCACTCAGTCCCAAGAGAGTAATGTTGACCACGTCATCCACTCAGTGACAAGAGAGTAATGTTGACCATATCACCCACTCAGTCCCAAGAGAGTAATGTTGACCACGTCACCCACTCAGTGGCAAGAGAGTAATGTTGACCACGTCACCCACTCAGTCCCAAGAGAGTAATGTTGACCACATCACACACTCAGTGGCAAGAGAGTAATGTTGACCACGTCACCCACTCAGTGGCAAGAGAGTAATGTTGACCACGTCACCCACTCAGTGACAAGAGAGTAATGTTGACCACGTCACCCACTCAGTGGCAAGAGAGTAATGTTGACCACGTCACCCACTCAGTGACAAGAGAGTAATGTTGACCACGTCACCCACTCAGTGACAAGAGAGTAATGTTGACCACGTCACCAACTCAGCCCCAAGAGAGTAATGTTGACCACATCACCCACTCAGTGACAAGAGAGTAATGTTGACCACATCACCCACTCAGTGACAAGAGAGTAATGTTGACCACGTCACCCACTCAGTGACAAGAGAGTAATGTTGACCACATCACCCACTCAGTGGCAAGATAGTAATGTTGACCACGTCACCCACTCAGTGGCAAGAGAGTAATGTTGACCACGTCACCCACTCAGTGGCAAGAGAGTAATGTTGACCACGTCACCCACTCAGTGGCAAGAGAGTAATGTTGACCACGTCACCCACTCAGTGACCTGTAGCCTCCAAAAATATGAGTGTAGCATTATTTGTTTGATACGTCAGTGGAATCAAAGGGATCTTTTTTTTTACCTCAATAAACTTCTAATGGAAGCCTCATCGCAGAACTGTATGTTGAAACCTATGAAAAGACAATGGAGAGAACTACCACTGAGAAAAAGACGGCTGGAGAATGCTTCACACTTAATTATCTTATGATTGAAGAGGAAATAATACCAGATGCCAGTGATAATCAAGTCAGGTAAATAGCATATTTCCAATCTGCCGTCTACACAATACAGTGCTACAGTCTATCGGCTGCTGCCTTGATTTTTTAATGTTGAATTAGGAATCGACATCACAGCATTCGGGACACTCCCCTAAGCGCTCCGTTCCCACCTTCAGTAGCAAACAAAGACTTTTAAGTCTGATGGTACCAGTAACTGTCTGATTGTACATCCGTCTCGCCTGCACCCTGAATGTTGAGAGTCGGCCAGATCCCCTGGTATCTTCCCGCGGCGCCATTATCCTCAGACAGTAAAGGTATATTTGTGCCTTCGCGCTGTTTTCTTGCTCCCATAGGGAAGTTACAACATCTAGCTTGTCATACATCAGTTCACCAACAAGTGGTGCAGAACTAGCCAGTCTGTCTGCATGCTTGATTCCCAATATACCTACATTTCTGGAGAAAATATGAAAAAAGGATGCTAACTAGCTGGGACCTCTGAAGAGCGATGCTCGCCACACTGCTGTCTGTGATAACCTAGTGAAGGTCTGGTCTTTTTCCTTATGCTTTTCTACCAGTGTCCAAAAAGCACGAGAATGGATAACTTCCAGCAATTGAAAGTTAAGATCACGAATTGTTAAACGCATTTGCTAAACTTTGTACTGCAGTGCCGTACATAGTAAACGGTAGCTAAATTTAACTGAAAAAAAAAAAAAAAAACATTTATAGTGTTTTAGATAAATATGGCAAATTTATTTCGGTTTGTTCTGTATAGCTCTAACCTATCATTTTGTTTGTTTAAATGTAAATGAAGAAATTGGCAAGCATAGTTTTATACTCATCAAGTAAAACAGCTAGACAGCTGCAGTAATCCGGTTAAAGGGCTTTAGCTATGCCAGAAGCTTCTGGTTGAAAATTAATTAAATTAAACATCAGTGGTAGATATAGTTCTTAGCGCGTGGGTTAGACCAGTGATTCCAAAACTGTGGGCCGCGGCGCCCCGGGGAGTCGCGACCTTTTCACGGGGGCGCTGCAAAATATTCAAAGATACACGAATTTTTTTTTAATATTTTTTTTTATCTTTTACATACGAATAGTTATACTTTTACTGATCTTAGGGCGCCGTGGAAAAGCTCTAATTGAAAAAGGGCTCCGCGACTAAGAAAAGTTTAGAAAACACTGGGTTAGACCATATATTGAAGGCAGTAGATGAGAGCGACCTACTCTACAGGATATGCCCAAACAGTGAAATAGATAGCAACAATTAAAAATAAAAACAATAAAAACTTAACAACGTACCTTGCGCCCATTATAGCCAACAAGCTACCAGGGTGAACAATACCGCTTACTGAAAAGTACAAAGGAATATAAAATGAGTATAGCATTCCCTTCACCCCATCCCTCCCTAATCCTACTCCCCACTCACTAGGCGCTATTCACATATTTATGTCACATTTTGCGGTGTACTGAGTAAATTATTAAGCGGTCACTACACGGCATTTTTTCCAATTTATGACAAAAATATCACTTTTTCAATGTGTTCATTTTTGTAATGTTCGGCATTCGTAGAACAGATTACACACAAAATTCGTGTCATTTGTAAACAATTTAGCATTGAAAAGTTAATGCTAAAGACACCAACCCATGAATTTTTTAAAGATAAAAAAAAGTTTAAAAGTCACTTTTCTAACAATTCTATTTTTCTGTTTGTTGTGTGTGGGATCTCCTAAAATCTCAGCTAATATAAAGACTAGAGACGTGAAATTTGGTGTGGATACTCCTAACACAATATTATAAGGTCAGGTCTATTTACTATTACAGTTTAATAGGTAATTTTTTTTAAAATTTGATTATTATCTTGAAAAGCTACATTTTTGTATTTTTTCAACATACCTACATTTTAATATTCTAAAAATAATATTTAGAAACATCTTTAAAGTAAATAAACTAGACCTGACCTTAAACATAGGTTTAAAGTTCATGAATCGATCATCTGTTTCTCAGTACCTCTGTTTGTGGAGCTCTCTGTGGTAGGCAGGCCGTTTTCCTCGCGCTCTGAAGGTCATGGGTTCTCTACACGGCTGCTCCGTTCAGTTCATGGGTGCAATTTTTATGGAAATCCTTGTGGATCGTCGCCGGAGCCAGGTAATTCGTGGTTTGTTCGACGCTTTCGGCCAGCAGCCAGTCGTTCTGATGAGAGACTTAGCCATATGGGATAAATCCTGGTTAATGAAGTAAACCCTCTTCTTGAATGTATCTCTTCTTCCATTTAGATTCTCTAGTATTTAAGTGGTTATAATAATAAGCGAAGAAAGTGCGCAAAATTAGCAGTCTGTCAAGGAGTATTTTCTAATTTTTTAAATATTTCTATGATTCATAACCATTTCTCTGGAACTCCCATGGTTCTATCCATCTTATTGTTCTGGATTTTTGGAATGCCCTTCACTGGGGCTCAATAAACACTCATTGATTTAAATTAAAGATTAGGAATCTGCTGCCACTAGTTTCAAAATTATTGACAGATAAAGAGAATTAGCAGGCTCAACACACACATACATATACACACTGTGTCATGTTTAGTTCCAAACGCCATTACCTTGAAAGACATCAATTCAAGCAAGGGCTCCGCGCGCGTCATAATAATTGGGAACCACTGCTCGGAAGTTAGGAAAATGATCTACTCATGAATGGCGGTATCAATGGTAGCCATTATTTAATGCAGGTGTTGGCAAACATTTCGTAGTGTTGTGTCAAAAGTAATATTGCTAAGCTACACCACTGCATCCAAAACATTTTTTACAACAATTATCTAAACAACATTATATCATCTCTCATAGAATTATATTTTTACAATTATTTTTTCCTGAGAGCGTACACACACACTATTTCACTTAATTCAGCGTACCACTAATAATCGTTCCACCTGCTATACTTGCTATAGGCCGTTGGGTGAAGACGCCTATTCATTCTAGATAGTATACAGCAGCAGGTTATTTATCCGTCGCCATTAAAACTATACTACTGATATTGCACAAACTGAGTAATGACGCCGGAAGGACACCTAGATCTTACCCAATTCACATGTCAACGGCTCTCTCTTTCTCTCTCTCTCTCTCTCTCTCTCTCTCTCTCTCTCTCTTCCTTTATCTCTCTCTCTCTTCCTTTATCTCTCTCTCTCTCTTCCTTTATCTCTCTCTCTCTCTCTTTCTTCCTCCCCTTTATCTCCCTCTCTTTCTCCCTTCTTCTATCGTTCGACTGAAATAAGTTGTCTATTTCAGCAATTTTGTCTCTTGTATAAATTTTACTCTAGTTTATAGTTTGTTCAGTCGTCCATAGAGTTTATGTCCCGCTGTTGTTCTTTCTGACTCAAAGGTTTGCCTTAATGCAGTGATCCCCAAACTGTGCGTCGCGGTGCCCCAGGGAGCCGCGACCTCTTTACAGGGGCGCCACGAAATATTCGAAGAGACACGAGTTTTATTTGTTTTCATCTTTTACATACGAATAGTCATACTTTTACTTAGGTTAGGGCGCCATGGCAACATTTCAATTAATAAAAGCGCCGCGACTAAAAGAAGTTTGGGAAACACTGCCTTATGTATCAAATTCGGTGCACTCCTTGAGTACATGTTCTTCTGTAGGGGCACCTTTCAATAGGTGCACTTAGCTAATATGCTTATCTCTTTATCCCCCTTCCCTCTTTCTCTCCCTCCATTTTCTGTCTCCCTCTCTCTCTCTTTCTCTCTCGCCCTTCCTCATTTCTCTCTCCCCTTCATTCTGCTTTGACAGTCTTTACCTGTCTTTTTGGTTTTTTCGGCTATGTTTCTCGTCCTCTCTAAATCTGCTTTTACTCACTCTCTCGTCTCCCGTCTGCATCTCCCCCTCTCCGTGGCTGTCTATCCACAGTTTCCTCATATGTCTTACAAACAAGTTACCCCATAAACTTACTATCTTTCAAAACTTGTTTAGTCGGCTCAACGGAATCGTTCGATCGACACCACTTTCTCTTGCTTGGCACCCTCACTGAGACATTGATATCCTTCCAGCTTAATGCAATCTGATGAACCTTCTCCACACTGGGTGACCGGTCAAAGTTCCGGCCCATGAGTATCTGACCTGTATTCAGCTTCACCATTATCTGTTGATTAACAAAGGGAGAGGCATATTTCAAACACGAATGAGCTTTATTTCCAAAGGGTTACAAACTGGGCACGCAGTACCGTCTTACCTTCGGCACCTAAGAGCACATATCTGTCATACGACAGTTCCATTTTATATCAATGAAAAATGTTCATATATCAAATATTATTGTTTTCATGTAAATTAAAAATCCAAAGGCACGGATGTCAAATGTATAGCTTCAAAACATGCACAATTACTCACGCATGGCAAACACACAAGCACACACACAACACCCTAAAACACCCAGATGGGCACACATTGATCATAACATATCACATAACATAGCCGTTGACCCATTAGGTTCGTGGGGGTGTATTGATGGAAGCACTAGCACATAAAACCCGCTATCTTTCTCTGTCTTCTGCTTGATGAATTAGTGTGTACTAACTTAGTCCTGTCGACAGGGCGACAGACTGAAGAGGGGGAAATCGTGGCTAGGTCGGGCAGAAGATGTTATTAGGCAAATATGCAGCCTAACCGACATCATACCTGGTGCAGAATGGATACCTGTGCCTCAGGCGTTTATTTGTACATTTTCCTGTATTGTCACACTCAACAGGCGATGTAGAGAAGAGAATCCTGTTGCTGTTAATGCAGAGGTCAACGCTCTCATCGGTGAAAATTCAGACGAAGCAGATGCAATAATCTATACAGACGGATCCGTTATACGCCAAAGAAGAAGCGCATGGGCATTTACAGCACGCTCAGCGGGCAGAACAGTCAAAGAAGCCAACGGCGCCTTCTCCATGACAACCAGCAGCATGACGATGGAGGTGATGGCAGTGACACAAGCGCTTGCCTGGCTTGAAACACAAAAATACACCCGCGCGTGTATACTCAGTGATTCAATGAGTATGATCCGGAGGGTTCAGGCAGGTTCAGTGCGAAGACAATGGCTTGAATCATTACAGAAGTCCACTGTGCGTGGAGTCACCTTTATTTTTGTTCCGGGACACGCAGGCGTCAATGGAAATGAAAGAGCTGACAGGTTGGCTGGATCCGCTATCACTACCGACGGTCAGCCTATGGATCATGCTGATATTATCAATGCCCTCAGAGAAATGGGAAGAATAGAGGACTTTGGTGGCAGTGAATCCACATCACTCGCCAGAATGGCAGACTTGGGAATTAAGATCGGCACAGCAAAAAACGAGACGCACACCAGCTACGCCAGAAGACTTGTTAATCAACATAGAACTGGTACTATTAGCCATCAGACGTTGGGGTTCATACTGAGGGGAGGATCTGAGCACCTATGGACATGTCCGGAGTTCAATGAGGATAACCCAACTAACTAACTAACTAACTAATTAGTCCTGTCAATTTCTTGATGTTGTCATTGCAGATTCTTCTTTGCCCTCCTCTTCTTTGCCCTCCTCTTCTTCGACTACTCCCCTGCACACATTGATCACACACACAACATAAACAGGCATAGACACAGACACACATACACACAGAGCACATACACACTGTTGTAATGTTGTTAATTGATCTCCCACGCTATGATAAAATATAAAAATCTAACCGAAAAACTCAAAGAAATAATGTTGTTCTATGTGTGCCCATTCGTCGTCAAAGCCAACATCTGTTTATCTATCCTTCTGTCACATATCCGTACGTCTACTCGTTCTTATGTCGGTTATGTTATGACAGTTGAGGTCTCTGCACATTGCGTATTCTCATGCGTGCTTCGTCATCCGATGCGCCAGTGACTACTCGATACAGCTAATTGTTTCCATATGAAGCTGATTATATTGATTCCTATCTCGGTCTTGAAGGCGACATTGACGTGCTTTACCAGCTTCGCTCTCGTGTTACGCAATCGTGTTGGTGTCAGGGATTCCTCCTTAAATACTAACATAGTCCGTACAGCATTGTTGAAATCTGCTCTGTATATGCTTTTGCCCCAACATGCGTTAGTGCATTGTTTGCTATTTGGTTCACCTATCAGTCTATATGCTTTTACGTCTGTCCGTCTAACTCATATGTCTGTCTTCCTAAAGTCCCCCCCCCCCCCCCCCCTTTTCCCCTCATCTATCTAGTCAGCCATTAAAACAAAAATAAACGCGCACGCATAAATATAATAAATGATAAAACTTTTGATATTTCAACAATGTTTCGATGAATGTGTATAAGAAGTTTGTCGGTCTTTGTGGCTTAGGCTTTGCGAACATTGTAATGCCGAGGTGCCGAGTTCGATCCCAGCTGCAAACGATTTTGCAGCAGAGCGCCTTACCTTGGTTTTGACATTGGTATTGAAAGCTGACCTCCAATAAAGCAAGGACAAACTACTGAAAGTTAAATTGCCTAGTAAAACATAAAACATCAACAACTAAAATTCTAGTGTTGGTGCTATATTTTTTTTTTAATTAGAAGTTCGTAAAAAGTATTAACTTCCTAATGACTTGCAGATCGCTGTTTACGTACTTAACACTTTTAAAAATTATGATATTTTTTTACAATCCTTTAGTCCTAGCTTTAGTTGCCACCGCCCCAACCCACCAACCCTCCCACCCACGGTAGATAATTTTCGAAAATTAAAGCCTGTAATTCTGAATCAACGACCGCTGGATCTTGTCTGCATTTTCTTGTTGTCTTCCTCTAATCCCCGCCATTGCTGGACCCAAGCCCGGATGAGAACAGATGGGAGTTTGGGATGGATCCAGCTCACCCACCTGTTAGCAAAAAATGTTTGCCTCAAAAACTGGCAGGGAGAGAATCCCTAGGGCTAAAGCTGATGATAGAGGCCAAAGTACTGGACTTGATTTCGTCCATGTTATCTAGTAATAGCACAGATACAACAGATTGGAGACGTAGACTGTGAACACTTTGTGATATACAATTGCACAACATGACAGTTAATGAATTAATGTCTTTCCCTAACTTTCATTTCTTAAATCTTTCCAGTTTGTCAGAACACGTTCCAGTTTACGTTCATGGTAATTAGGCCAAGAAAATTTGCGGTTGCTTTTTTCAATAAATTTATTACGAGTACATTGAGCAGGGCCATTCAACTGGCGGGCAGTAGGTCAAATCCGGTCCGCAGAGACCAAGCAAGTGACATACGGATCATTGTCAATTTTATTGCATGATAATTATTTATCTTTCCAAGCTTCAGCTCTGGTCACTGATCTCCATGTTCAATATTTTGGCCCTTGAGTAAACTTAGGTTTATTAGACCTAACACTGAGTATAGTAATGAAAAAGTTACGGCAACTGACAGACATCAAATTCGTATATCCGAGAAGGCTAACTCGGTCACCAAATGCCTGCAAAAGTCAGATGTGTCAGCCGAAAGGTACAAATATCGCAGCCAAGCTGTAAATATGTAACACGCAATTACATCTTTGGATGAACGCAGAAGAAGAAGAAATCGGTACCTGTGTAGAATCATGATCCACGTTTGCGAGGCTTGACCCATGGTTTGTTAGGGTGTTGTTTGACAGAAGAGAACCATGCTCAGTGTCCCCAGATTGCAGCAAGGGAGTGTGCTCATCGTTGTTTGCCATCCGTGTGGGTTTTTTTTTTAATTGTACCTGGGTAAATGAGGATAACAGTTAGTGTGGATACCTGCCTGTATACAAGAGAACAGTGGTGTTAGTGTGGTTATAGATTTGTGATGTCTGGATACAAAAGAACAGCAGTATTGTGTGGGACGGATTATGTGATGTCTGGATACAGAAAAAAAGAAGTGTTGTGTAGGAACGAATTTGTGATGTCTGGATACAGAAAAAAAGTGTTGTGATGTCTGGATAAAGGACGGCAGCGTTGGTGTAGTTATATATTTGTGATGTCTGGATAAAGGACGGCAGTGTTAATGTGGTTATGTATTTGTGATGTCTGAATAAAGAACATCAGTGTTAGTATGGCTTTATATTTGTGAAGTCTGAAAAAAGGACAACTGTGTTAGTATGGTTATATATTTGTGATATCTGGATAAAGCACAGAAGTATCATTGTGGTTATATATTTGTGATGTCTGGATAAAGCACAGAAGTATTAGTGTTGTTATATATTTGTGATATCTGGATAAAGCACAGAAGTATCAGTGTGGTTATATATTTGTGATGTCTGGATAAAGCACAGAAGTATTAGTGTGGTTATATATTTGTGATATCTGGATAAAGCACAAAAGTATCAGTGTGGTTATATATTTGTGATATCTGGATAAAGCACAGAAGTATCAGTGTGGTTATATATTTGTGATGTCTGGATAAAGCACAGAAATATCAGTGTGGTTATATATTTGTGATATCTGGATAAAGCACAGAAGTATTAGTGTGGTTATATATTTGTGATGTCTGGATGAAGGACAGCAGGTTAGTGTGGTTGAATATTTGTAATGTCTGGATAAAGGACATCAGTGTTAGTGTCGTTATATATTTGTGATGTCTGGAGAAAGGACAGCAGTGTTAGTGTGATTATTCATTTGTGATATCTGGATAAAAGCCAGCAGTGTTTGTATGGTTATATATTTGTGATATCTGGATAAAGGACAGCAGTGGTAATGTGGTTATATATTTGTGATATCTGGATAAAGGACAGCAGTGGTAATGTGGTTATATATTTGTGATATCAGGATAAAGGACAGCAGTAATAATGTGGTTAAATATTTGTGATGTCTGGATAAAGGACAGCAGTGGTAATGTGGTTATATATCTGTAATGTCTTGATAAAGGACAGCAGTGTTAGTGTGGTTAGATATTTGTGATGTCTGGATAAAAGTGAAAAAACAGTGTTAGTGTGGTTAGATATTCGTGATGTCTAGATAAAGGACAGCAGTGTTAGTTTGGTTAGATATTTGTGATGTCTGGATAAAAGTGAAAAAACAGTGTTAGTGTGGTTAGATATTCTTGATGTGTGGATAAAGGACAGAAGTGTTAGTGTGGTTAGATATTTGTGATGTCTGGATAAAGGACAGCAGCGGTAGTGTGGTTAGATATTTGTGATGTCTGGATAAAGGACAGCAGTGGTAGTGTGGTTAGATATTTGTGATTTTTGGATAAAAGTGAAAAAACAGTGTTAGTGTAGTTAGATATTCGTGATGTCTGGATAAAGGACAGCAGTGTTAGTGTGCTTATATATTTGTGATGTCTGAATAAAGGACAGGAGTGTTAGTGTGGTTATATATGTGTGATTTATGAATAAAATACAGCAGTATTAGTGTGGTTATATATTTGTGATGTCTGTAGAAAATACAACAGTGTTAGTGTGGTTATATATTTGTGATGTCTGGATAAAGGTCAGCAGTTTTAGTGTGGTTATATATTTGTGATATCAGGATAAAGGACAGCAGTGTTAATGTGATTATATGTGATATCTGGATAAAGGACAGCAGTGTTAGTGTGGTTATATATTTGTGATGTCTGGATAAAGCAAAGCAGTGTTAGTGTTGTTATGTATTTGTGATATTTGGATAAAGGACAGCAGTGTTTGTATGGTTATATATTTGTGATGTCTGGATAAAGGACAGCAGTGGTAATGTGGTTATATATTTGTGATATCTGGATAAAGGACAGCAGTGGTGATGTGGTTATATATTTGTGATGTCTGGATAAAGGACAGCAGTGTTAATGTGGTTATATATTTGTGATATCTGGATAAAGGGATAAAGGACAGCAGTGGTGATGTGGTTATATATTTGTGATGTCTTGATAAAGGACAGCAGTGTTATTGTGGTTAGATATTTGTGATGTCTGGATAAAAGTGAAAAAACAGTGTTAGTGTGGTTATATATTTGTGATGTCTGGATAAAGGACAGCAGTGTTAGTGTGGTTATTTATTTGTGATGTCTGGATAAAGGACAGAAGTATTAGTGTGGTTAAATATTTGTGATGTCTGGATAAAGGACAGCGTGTTAGTATGGTTATATATTTGTGATGTCTGGATAAAGGACAGCAGTGTTAGTGTGGTTATATATTTGTGATGTCTGTAGAAAGGACAATAGTATTAGTGTGGTTATATATTTGTGATGTCTGGATAAAGGGCAGCGTGTTAGTGTGGTTATATATTTGTGAAATCTGGATAAAGGACAACTGTGTTAGTGTGGTTATATATTTGTAATGTCTTTAGAAAGGAGAACAGAAGTACTAGTGTTGGAGTGTATTTGTGACGCCTGATTAAGTATCGTGCCAGTCGCAACGATACTTTTCAGTGATTTTCTCATTACATGACCAAAGAACTTTGTCCCTTTCCCTTTGTTGTATATGATGTTCTACATTCAGATATATTGCATTAATGTACCAAGATCCACTTTAGAAGAGTGTTCGAATATTGTGTCATTTTTATTAACTAGTCTACGTTTAAATAAGTTTCAAAGTACCAAAAGGGGTCAGATTAAAATAGGGTTCAGGTCTAAACGGACACATTGTATTTGAAAGGTTTTCCTCTGTCGGCGGCCCCTTTTGTACACATGATAGGTCACTGGCACTTGACCTCTTGTATGAGCATACCAATTATACTTCAAAACTTCTACTATGAGTCTAAGTTAAATGTCCATTAATACAATTATGTTATAAAACTATGCAAATAAAAATCTACTAAACACATAACACAGCAAAAAAAAAAAAAAAAAAAAACATCTTACAGACCTTAATATCGCGTATGAAGGAAAAACTGCTTTTCACTAATACGTATATGATTTGGATATTATATATCCGGACCCTAGCATTACCCTACTGTTCAATCACAACTGTCTCACGATTGCTGTCAGTTCACACTTGATAACGTTAACGGTGATTATCACACTGTTTGAAATTATCTGTGTTATCTGGCTCTGCCGGAGTAGAAGTCGAGACCAAACGTGTATTGTTTATACGAAGTGATGTAAAGTTCACACGTAAACGTGTGCCAGTCAAAGCGTGTTGCCATTGTCTTCATGCGTGGATGTTGGAGTTTACTGTGTCAAGCAACTCAGGATAACACAACTCAGTGTTTCATCAGTCGCGTTGTGTTTCCTGATTTCGTTCAGGGAAAGGAGATTTGTACAAACAGTTAGACACAGTGAGCTGGTGTGGCCGGGGATGAGAGAGTTTTCTCTGTTGAATAGATGTCATCTGAGCTGTTGATGAGCAAGGAGGTCACAACAGGGCACTTTGTCTATTTATACTGATCTAAATTGGTCAATCAGGTGCCGTCTCCACAGCGAAGGTTGGCTGCAATGGATATCCAGTACGCTCGGCCTCATGTCTTGTACACTCTCTCAGACTGATGTATGTACATCTATTGATGTTGTCCTCCCAACAGTATTTTTGTCTGCCTCTTGCTCTCTTGTCCTGTTTTATGTTTTTTAAAAGAGTGTTATGCCTTTTAATGCAGCCAAAATATTTCACTTGTCTCTATTTTTTTTATTTTTTTTTTCAGTAAATTTTTTTTTTTCATTCGCAGTCTCTCCAGTAAAAAATAAAGATCCTTTTTCACGCCTTAGGCGTCCCATATCCAAATATACGTAATATGTGGTCATTATATGCCCCCTTCCCCCGAGAGAGTGCTAAAATGTTACATAGAACCTGTTCTGCTCTATGGAACAGGAGGAGGATGTGTGATGAAGAGGAGGAGGATGTGTGATGAAGAGGAGGAGGCTGTATGATGAAGAGGGGGAGGCTGTATGATGAAGAGGAGGAGGATATGTGATGAAGAGGAGGAGGATGTGTGATAAAGAGGAGGAGGATGTGTGATGAAGAGGAGGCGAATGTGTGATGAAGAGGAGGTATATGTGATGAAGAGGTGCCGGATGTGTGATGAACAGGAGGAGGGTGTGTTATGAAGAGAGGATGATGATGTGTGATGAAAAGAAAATGGATATGTGATGAAGAGAAGGAGGAGGATGTGTGATGATGATGAGGAGGAGGGTGTGTGATGAAGAGAAAGAGGGTGTGTGATAAACAGGAGGAGGATGTGTGATATGAAAACAGGAGGAGGAAGAGGACTATACAGCCAAGAAGCACAATACAAATAGGGGACAGTATAGAAGAGGATGTATATGGATAGTAATGATGTTATCAAGAGAAAGGGATATCCATCGCTCACGAATGATAATACTTGCCTATAGTATCTCAGATAAGAATAATCAGCTGTGGCCATTTATTGTAACAATAAAACTGTGTTAATGAGAGCTACCTCACTTGGCCTATTTTTCCTCCAAGAGCCGACTGTTTGTCCTCCAAGAGCCGACTGTTTGTCCTCCAAGAGCCGACTGTTTGTCCTCCAAGAGACGACTGTTTGTCCTCCAAGAGCCGACTGCTTGTCCTCCAAGAGCCGACTGTTTGTCCTCCAAGAGCCGACTGTTTGTCCTCCAAGAGCCGACTGTTTGTCCTCCAAGAGCCGACTGTTTGTCCTCCAAGAGCCGACTGTTTGTCCTCCAAGAGCCGACTGCTTGTCCTCCAAGAGCCGACTGTTTGTCCTCCAAGAACCGGAATGGTTGTCCTACAAGAGCCGGCCTGTTTGTCTTTTAAGAGCCGGCCTGGTTGTCCTTCAAAAGCAGCCATTGATTCTGGTGATCTTGTGAGACG